GATGGATGGATGGATGGATGGATGGATGGATGGATGGATGGATGGATGGATGGATGGATGGCAGATTATAGAAGCTTTCTTTTTTGATGTGCTTTTTTCATTTAATATATAAAAAACAGAAATCAGTAAAGTAAAATCATTTGTGGAAAACCATAAAATCAAACAATCATTTATTGTTTCAACATGAACTCACCCACAGTGAAACTCACCCACAAGTGAAAACATGTCTGCAATCATGCTTGCCTTTATCTTCAGATCTAAGGGTGCATCGCTGAAAAAAAAAGACGTTTTCTCAGATTGAGACACAGTAACAAACATAAACATTTCCATCATATATGCTTATGTTAGAGCAAAGCAAACCAGCTGCCATAGGATGATGTTCACATGACTAAACGCTTTCACAGGAGTTTAGTTTTTCCAGTGTTTGTGTTTCACAAATTAAGCAATTGTCCTTCAAAGGGAGGGCAATTGGAAAGAAATTCTCTCAAAGCAGCAAATAAAACAATCAAATGTTTGAGTCACTCACCAAGACAGGGAGGGAGAAAGGTTCACCTCTAACAACCAGGGTTTGAGGTTGGAGTCAATGAGCACATCAAAACCATACAGCTCTACAGAGGGACAAACAAAAAAAATCAAAAGATTTTCAAAGTAGAGACACAAACCAGAAAAAACACAGACCAGATTTTAAAACAATAAACGTCTAAGATCAGTGTGAAGAATGATATTGTCAAAAGCAGCTGGCTTGATCACATAACTAAACTACATTTAATTTGCTTATGCAAAACAGATTAAAAATAAAATGTGGCTTTGTGTACTCTGTCATTGATTTTCGCAGAGGTATAAAAAGTATGGTACTTGAAAAAAAATACCTAAGTAAAAGTGAAATACCATAACAAACGCTAAATCAACTAGGTAAAATTGGAGGCTTTAAAATCTGTCATTTAAATATGAGAAGTCTTGTACCTAAACTGGATGAATTCAAAGTAATACTTACTCAGACACAAGCACATGTTATGGCTATATCAGAATCATGGCTGACTCCTGCTATACCAAATTTGTTTCTTTCAGTTGAAAATTATTCATTGTATCATAGAGACCGTACTGATAGGCTTGGAGGTGGTGTTGCAATTTATGTTCACAAGAAATACCCACATTCTATTATAGAATTGTCAACTGAGTCTGAATCTCTGCAATTAGAAATCAAGCTTACAAATCACCTTTCAGTAACGGTTGTTGTTACATATAAACCTCCAAGTGTTAATTCAACTAAATATTTAGCGCAGCTCACTTACATTATAAAAGGCATAAAATCAAAAGAGTTTGTGATTCTTGGTGATATCAATATGAATTGGGCTGATAAAACTTCCAAAGGCCTGAAAGCAATGTCTATAAACTTAGGGCTTCAACAGTTAATTAAAGTACCAACAAGATTTGGCAAGACATGCAATTCAATTTTGGATCTTATTTTCACAAATCGATCCTCCATATATGGCATATCTGGAGTTATAAATACTTCAATCTCGGATCATTCACTTATTTATGTCATTAGAAAAAACCTTAAGAAACCTACAGGTCATGTGCATAATTTCATTCAAAAGGATTCCAAAATCAAAGTTACCCATGTTTCATGCTGAGATTGAGAATACTAACTGGAATGAGGGTATTTCTCTGTCAAATCCAAATCACATTTTGTCAAATTTTTATGATAAGTTGGAGACAATACAGGACAAATACATTTCAACTTGTAAAGTTCCAGTCCGGAAAAATAAAACTCCATGGTTGAATGCCTCTATAATACATCTCCTAAGTTGAAAGCTTCTTCAATGAAAACTTATAGAATATCAAAAACTTCTGAAAATCGGCCTCGTTTAAACAGTTACTGAATTAAATGTGTTGCTGAATTACGCAAAGCCAAACAACAATATTTAAAAATCAAATTATTTCAGCCAGTAAGAACCCAAAAATATTATGGGAAACGATTAAGTCAGTGACAGGTGAAAGTAACAATAAAACATTTAATAACAATTCACAAATCTCAGTAAATGGACTTCTTGTTTCTGATCATGAAAAAATTGCTAACTTATTTAATGAATATTTTATTTCTTCAGTAAGGACATCATTACCGGGACAAGCTAATAGTTTAAAGTTATTTAAATATCCTGRCACTTCAAAGCAATTTTCATTTTCTGAAATTTCACAGAGTGATGTTTTGAATACACTCCAATCTCTAAATGGCTCACATGCATTTGACAAATATAAGATAAATATGGATTTCTTGAAAATGCATGCCAACACTTTACCATTGTTTCATCATTTGCTTAATTTATGTATTGTGCAGTCTATTTTCCCTGATGCCCGGAAGTTTGCTCAGATTACTCCCATTTTTAAATCTGGTGATCCAACAGAAGTTTCAAACTATCGGCCAATTTCTGTTCTTCCTATTTTTCTAAGTTACTTGAAAAAACATTATTTAATCAACTACTTCAGCATCTAGAAGATAATAATATGCTAAGCAATAGCCAACTTGGTTTCCGCATGTCAAGGTCAACCATGTCTGCATTAATTTTATTCACTGAACAAATACGTGCTGCTTTGAACAAAGGTCAAGTAACTGGTGCTGTATACAGTATATTGATTTTTGTAAAGCGTTTGACACAGTTGATCATTATACTCTCTTACAAAAGTTGATTTCTTTTCAACTTTCATCATCTGCAATACAAATGTTTTCCTCTTATTTGACTGATAGGTGTCAGGTTGTGAAACATGGAAGCTCTGTGTCCGGGTCTCTGCCCTGTTCCGTGGGAGTTCCGCAGGGTAGCATACTGGGCCCATTGCTTTTCCTAATATACATAAATGACCTTCCAAAAATATTGAAGTATTCAAATATTTTAATGTATGCTGATGATATTGTTCTTTTTTTTTGTCTGATTTCAATATTGAATCTATTAATAGTCAGTTACAAGCAGATCTTCAGACATTTCATGGTTGGCTTCAAGATAATCTTTTGTCAATTAATGTTAAAAAAAACTGTGTGCATGTATTTTTCCTCACCCAGGAGACATTTCAATATAACAAATCAACTCACTTTTTTAAACAAACCCCTTGATATTGTCACTACCTACAAATATCTTGGAATTACTTTGGATTCTCATTTGACTTATCGTGATCATGTACAAGTCTTAATCACTTAGTTGAAACAAAAATTATACGTTTATTCAAAAATTAGATCCAATCTGACATCTTCTGTTTCAAATATCTATCTTCATGCCATTGCACTCTCAACCATGTCGTACTGTTTACCTGTTTGGTCTCTTACAACAAATGAAATCTTAGAACCCATAGTTAGGCTCTACAACAGGGCCTACAAAACTCATAAAAAACTTCGTGGTTGGACTCATCACTGTACAGTTCTTTCATTGTCTGATGCCTTGACTTTTCAGAATTATGTTTTGTATAGTGGTATTAATTTATATTTTCAGATCTTCCAAGGTGCCAATTATGGAACTCTCTGTGCATTGCTGCCCAAATCAAATTCTGGAAGTGGTCATTCAACTAGATCTGTTACAAAAGGACAATTGATATTACCAACTTTTAAAAACTGTTACGGCCAGAGGTCTTTCTTCTATGTTTATACTAAAKCATGGAATGACATTCCTCAAAACATAAAGTCCATTTCAAAACTACAGCCCTTTAAGAAGCATCTTGTCTGCTATCTACTGGACAATTTTTGTTGTGCTCATATCTAGACGTCCTATTTTGCAAATGCTGCCTTTTTTAAATTTGGTATGCTTGTTTGTCTTTGTGTCTATGGTGTATGATGATGTGATAGTGATGCTGTAATTCTGAGTGTTTTATGTGCTGCAGAACAGGAACCTGTTGTAAAACAGCAATTATGCTGAGTCAGGCTTGATTTTTAATAATCTTTTCCTGTTAAATAAATAAATCAAATCAAATCAAATCAACAGAAAATGACTCAACTCAACTTGGTTTAGCGGAACCAGCTGACACACAGTAATTTGGTTAAATAATTCAATACTTTTTTTAAGACTGCATAAACAACTTATTCATTTCATGATGAGTTCTAGTCATATTTAAATTTGTAGATGGTAACAAGGTGCTAAATTTTAAAACAAAGAAGTAAAAGTATAATTTTCGTGTTGTGAATGTAACGAAATTAAAGTAAAAGTAAAAGTTATGATTTAGTAGCAAAGTAAAAGGTACTTTGTTACTTTACATTTCTGGATTTTCCCATTGCTCGAGGTTAAAAAGTCATCATACAGTCACTTTTATTACCAAGAAGAAAAAAATCCTAATAGCCACAAGAAGAAACTTTAACCCCAACATGAGCTCAATTCATCCCCAACTGGAACTATAAATCTGGAGGTGCAAAGCTCAAAATGTGAAGATGTGTCCCAAAGGGCGAAACCTGGTGAGCCTCAGGCAGTGAACTGTATATACAGTATTTCACTTCAGTAACAGCTAAGCACTGAGTGACACAATAAAAGCCTTTCACAAAGTGGTCAGGAAGTTCCCAGTCTTCAAAAAAACTGTCCAATCCATCTCTCTTTTCTCTCTCGTTTCACTGACTGATGTATGGCTCAGTGCAGCAGCCGGTCTCCGTGCCATATGAAAGGCCTCACATTGCTCTGGGGAGTGTCACCCAATAAGCCACCAGCCCCAGCAGCAGCACGCAGCAAAACCACAGTCTTTTAAAGGGATCGGGTAAAGCCCAGCCAAAAAAACAGGAGGGGAAAAAAATCCTTCTAATGGCACTTCAAAAGCACAGACTGTGTTGAGAATGGGTTGGGGGGGTTGTAGGTTTCAAAGCTGCAATAACCAGTTCTGTTTGTTCAAGCATCTCAGGTCAATGCCAATGTTAAGAATACAAAACCCAGCATGACACCGGACAAAGGCCTGATATGCCACTTCACATCTCACTGATAAAACTTAGCGGTTCTGCTTTAACCGGTCATTATGGTGACATAACTTCAWCTAGAATGTGATGTAAAACTAACAAATCATCGCCACACAGATTGGATCTGAATATTATAAAGAAAAGACTTGGTCTTATGGAGCATGCATAGGAATTTAACTTGATTTATTAACAGAAATTTTAATGAATAAGACATATAAGAACAGATAGTATTTCTTTAAGAGTAAACTATGAAGCAATTATAGCAGCCTTAAAGTGCCTGTGACATGCATATCGATGAAATACAAAAAGTCAAATATTTACATTTAAGAAACTTGGCAAATACACATGATTTGACCGTTATGTCACATAATTGGCATATTTCTTWTGAATTTGGCTCAGCTAAAGTGAAACAGGAAGTGACATCAAAAGGGGAACTCTTTAAAGAAAACTCCCTGATTTTTGTTTATTTAAACAAAATTGTTTGAACTATGACTCTCTCATATCCCTATATGATAGTGATTACAATATTCTAAAGAAACATCAGATTTTTCACTACAGTCTGTGTTGTTAGCCATTTTAGCAACACTCTGTTTACATTCAGACATCCCCCTTTGACATCACTTCCTGTTTCTTCACATGTGACTATCTCAACGACTGTTCATCTCAGCGGCCTGAAATCTGTTTTACATTGTGTTATCAATGTTTTCTTTCCAAAAATATATTCATATTTTTTATTAAAAAACTGATGTCACAGGCACTTTAAAGACAGTTTTCCATTCTGTGCAGTTGTTCCCTAATTTTTTGGCTTCAGGCCAATTAAATCACAGCAGACCTATGAGCCCAACTATCATTGGTTGAAGTATACCAACATTGTTAAATAAACAAGACTAACAACCATTATCCTATAGTATGTGCTTTTATCAACTTATGACTACTGGTTTTTACATGTTAAACATGCTAAATATAACATTAACATTCCTTTTTAAATCTAATATTTCTGAACATCATTTCAAAACCTCCCATTTGGTGCTTTTTAACCTACAGTGGAAAGAAATGATTTGTTGGGGGTGTAATAGAAGAATTAAAAAAACTGTTTTAACAATGTGAGCCATTATTATAAGAAACTCTTGTTGATTTTTACATAAACTGTTTGATTCTAACACATAAATTATATGCCTATTACTTATCACATTTGCTAAGCTTTATTTGGTAACAACTTCTTCAGAAAGCTTGATCACCGTAAGTCAGTATCAAACTTTTTGTACAGCTGCTAAACAGATGTAGTAGCAATTTGCAAACATCTATTAAGTGTTGGCAGGATTAAATTTTACAAGGAACTAATATAAATCTGTTAATTTACCATGTTTAACACAGAACATTTATGAAAACTCATTTTACAGGCTTTAATGTTTGGTACAACATGGAAATTCCTTTATGTCAGTGGAAAACTGAGTCGACATATGTACTTAAGGACAAATTATTGGATTTCTCTATTTCATGTGTGTTTCTGTACGACTCAATCTGTGGGCCAGGAGCTGAAACAGAAGCTTTCACTACCATCTTTAATTTCACAAGATGAACTGGACCCCTGATTACCTAATTTCCCTCTGCGATCAATAAAGTATTTTTGAATTGAATTTGAATTGAATGTGCTTGCCTCAGCAAAACACTTGGACTTGATTTTCCACTTGATAGCTTCTGCTATTCTATGCATGTTTTGAAACATGTGCATGTTTAAACCAAGAAAGAAAGGCAGAGATTTGTGTGTGTGTGCTATAAAACATTATCTATTAGTCTTGGAAAACAGAGTAGGGGGATAATTAGATTTGAGCCTGCTCTGCCTCGTCAGTGGCACCACAACAACAGGGAGGTGTTGCACCACCTCGCCAGCCTCCGACATACAGACTCCATGTGCCACAAATTTTCCCCCAATTAGAAGCAGACGCCGCTGATGCCCCACGAGCCTGCCGAGCTGCTTTATGTCAGACGTTTTGTTTTGTGGCTCGACCGCTGCTGGGGCAGCAGCTTTAAATGTGCCCACAGACGGCCCACAACAAGAATCACAGACAAGGAGACATGAGGCGCTTAACATCCACATAACACTCATTAAATAGGGACGGAGAGGAAAAAAAAAACTGTGACAGAAAAATWAAAAAAAAGGATGAAGAGCTTTTTCTTTTATTAAAAGGAGGGGCGCCGCTGGAAAGTTTACCACAATAGACGCACGCCCAAAAACAATGATCTCCCCACCCTGGCCACGCAGCCTGGTGGCCCACAATAACAGCAGCATCTTTCATGTGTTTTCTTCATGCTTGGACAATTGAATTACTTTCACGTCATTCTGAGATAAATCACGCCTGCTAAACTGTTTCACTGCTGCTGTCAGAGGCGCAGCAGAGCAGCTTGGAGCCACCAGTTGTAAAAACACTCCGAGGACAACAAATTAAAGTCCCAGTTTGCGCTCCGCAGTCTTGTTGTGATAGCGAGACCCAAACTATTAATCACTTATAAGAAGACTCAGTTACACAGCAGCTAAACTGTCCTCACGGGGACACAAACATCGCACTGCGGCAACATGTGGGAGTATCTGACAAATGCGAAACACCCAGAGTAACTCGCAGAGAGGAGATCCAACCACACTTAGCACTAAATGAGGGACGTTCACTGAAACATTGGACTAGTAAGTGGAATGGTTTGTGTGTAATAAAATAGGCCTTTGGCTTGGCTAATCAGATCTTAGTCAAAACATCTTGTAATCAGCATCTCTCAGCCAAAATGCCTGTCCATTAATCACACGGCAGCGGTAAGGAGCAGCATGGGTGGCATGCACACAAAACTACACACTCATATGCCCTTCTCTTACAATCTAAAACAAAACAACAACAAAAAAATCATTTTTTATTTCTTCCCTCTTGAGACATTACAAACTAAGCTATAAAAAGATATTGTAAGGTGTGCCCATTAAAATGCACTGTGCTTTTTGTGTAAAGGGGGAGGAAAAAATACTATTTGAAAACAATAAACATTGTATTAAAGCCTTTTATAGACAGGGAACAATTTGCAGTAAATTAAGATTATTATGTGCTTTATGGTCCTGTATGGCTCCTTTCCAGATAAGCTATAGACTAGAAACTCTAAACAATGCCTGTTTTTATCGGCTCAGTTAACACGCATGCACCTTTGTTTAGCTGTCATGCATTCTGATGCCTGTTTACCATTACAGGCAGCTGCTGAGGCCCAGTAGATGAGTGTGTGTAGAGAGGGCGAGCTAGGGATAAGTGCGAGTAAAGAAGAGAACAAACTGTACGTAAGTTCCAGGTGGTTTGGAGAGCTCTTACTTAAGGAAGAAGTACCTGACAGATGGGACATTCAATCCTAAACTTCCAGAAACTGAGACAGGCCTGTATGCTTGTGAAGCTCACGGGTTCCAGCATGCCTCTGTGTTCATTCTGTACATATATACTCAGACGCAGGGAGGCACTTTGCGTGCAACATGACCACGCGAGGAGAGACGGATCAACAAAAAGAAGATGAGGGTGGTCCTCTGGAACCGTCAATGTCTGTCTTGAGGAAACCTTAGACACACCACGAAAGCCATAATTAATCTGCTTGAGGCAAAGACAACAAAATCACACTAGATTCAATGGTAAACTGATAGTGTTGAAGGAAAATGATGGGTTTGTTCACAGCAGACCAAAGTTTAGTATGTGTCTTAATCTAAGGTGCAGCAGATAGTTATTTATTTTATTTTTGCAAAAACTATACATGACATCAGTTTTACATCCTAAAGTAATAAAACAGTATAAATGTAACTTAACATTAGATGTCTGTGTTCTTTCAATTTGAGAGTATTTTTAATCCTGCCTATGTACTCTACAATATGTAGATATAACAATAAAGCTGACTTTGACTTAGAAACTAAAAGGATATTTTTGTCGGCCAATTTGATTTGATGAGGTCGGCCTGAATATAAGGGGCCTCATGCAGTTGTTTTATTCCAACTTAGTTTCTAAACATAAAGCTCATGCTATCAATTTAATTCCCAATAATACTTTTTTATTTGTCTAACATTAGTGATTTTACTTGGTATGACATTAGCAGCATTTTAGTGGGGGTTTGTGTGTGCGTGTGTGGACGGGTTTTTCCTACAATGTGGGGAAAATTTTCCCAAAAAAGCAGCTTTGTGGGGACCGAAGTGCCCCCACAGATCCAAATGCAAATTACAGGTGTGGGGTTGGGTTAGTTTTAGGGTCAGATAGGTACCTGTGAGGTTAATTTTAGGGTAAAAGGTCAGGGTTAGGTTAGGTTAGGTTAGTTTATTCATTTCTTTAAAAAAAAAAACAACATAAATTCAACATACAACAAAAACACAAATCATAAATTAAATGAAAGGTAGCACAAGAAGATAAAAGCTTATTATATCTGCCCCTTTTTCTCAAATAAATGGTGAGGGTAAGGCTATAAAGGCTAAAAAAATGAATGGAAGTCAATGCACGATCCCCAAGGGGTTCAAGAACAAACTTGTGTGTGTATGTGTTGATCTGGTTTATCTTCATATAATTTCTGGCCATATTTGTGTAGAAACATGATACATCCTGAGGGGTTTTTGAAAACATTAAAGTCATCGGGTTATTTGTTCTCATGTTTCAGATATGAATGAAAGACAGGTTTGATGAGGTTTGATAAGCTACATTTTACTGCAAATACCTGCAGGATCAACACTCGCTGCCTAATTTAATGTTAGTTTTCAAATGGTAGCAGTGATACTAAGGGTGCAGATTGCATCTTCATGCAGGCGAATGTTGGAGTTTGAGCCCGTGCCGCTGCCTAATACAGCCCAAACAACCACCCATCAGAGAGCTATTATGTCTCGGGAAGCCTTTATTTTTCTGGCATCTGAGAGGTGAAAGCAAGTGTGAGCAGGAGAGGGAGAATTATAAACAAACAGAAACATAAGAGAGAGGGGGGGAAAGAGTGAAAAAGAGACAGTGGTGCTGAGGGAAGCTGGGCCAAAATCCTCGCTTTCAAACCCCAACATTTCAGAAAGGCCGCCAGGCTCAGAGAAAGGAGCGCAGACAATTAGTGCCAACACTAACACGGGTAATGGCTCCAAAATGAAATTCACACGAGCCTGCTGCTGAGCAAGACTAGCCAAGAAAATAGTCGGCCTAAATCAGGCAAAGCTTGAATGGCAACAGAAAAGAGGAAGCGAATTCCTGCTTCAGTCAACAGGCCCTGCACAAGCCGGCYGCCACTTGGAGGGCAGCAACAGGCAGGAAGGCTCTACATGAAGACAGGACCGTCTACCACCTCAGCGTGGCTGAGGGAACAAAAGCGCCGAAGGAAACTGCGAAACAATGAATCTGAAACTGAAAAGAAACTTGAGGGGTGTGATAATGTGTGCAAGAACTAGAAAATTTTGTCAGGTACTTTGAAAGGGATTGTGGCTCTTAATTTCTARCAACTAATATACCATTTAAAAACATTCTTTAAAAGAAAATGTAGTTTTTACCAAAGCAATTCGTCTTATGAGGAACAAACATCTTGCAGGCAGTGGCTATCTGAAGCTCCGCACTGAGCACAGCTTTGACRATGAGGTCCTCAATTTGTCTCATCAGCACTGGAACAGACGAAATGGAAAAGAAACGAACTAAAAATCATCCTAATATTTACTCTCTGAAAGCTTTATTATGATTTGATCGCACTCCGTGGCGGTCTTGGACACTACATTAAAAAAACAAAAACAAAAACAAAAAAAAAAAACGGCCCGACTCACATGTGGTGTCCTTTCCCTCCTGCTTCAAATACCTCAGCACTGCACTCATACTCCATTTGTTCCCATAATCCTCCACTTCAGGGTCATCGCAGCTGAAAAGAGAGAAAAGGACTTCAAAGACCAGAGCTGGGGCGAAGGGATGAGTCAGGGGGCCTTCCCCTAACAGCGACCTGTTCAGCGTAGACAGCAAGCAGCTTACCTGACATAATCACTGCTCTTTTTGTTCAAACTGTAGTTGGTGAGATGCATGAACGTGTTCTTGATGTTTGTTGACGCTCGATCATACTTGACTGTTGCAAATCTGCGAACAAGTAGTGTTTATTTTTTAAAAGACAAAGGGAAAAAAACATTAGTTCACCTCCACATTCATGCGGCTGACACTTCGCTGGATAATAAGGGCACTTTGGAGAAGAGAATCGCCTCGGGTGGTGTTTGAGAGGAGTGGATGCCACATGTGCAGTAATGAGAATTCCTTGGCACACACCATGTACCTGAATATCAACACCGCTAAAGGAATGTCAGCAGATAAAAGCAGGATTCAGAATTTGGCTATGATTTACAGCTCTCAGTTGATAACCAAGCCAATGGAGAAGAGGGCAGTGGCACACCGTTTTCCAGCATGAGAACATATTTCTATCAGAGCAAGGCCAGGAGCCAGCTATTCCATAAACCATCTCCCCTCTCCTCCTGGCCTACCTGAGTCTCATGTTAGCCTGTTCTCACTTTAGCAAATTGTTGTTGCTCTGAGCACAAAGATGCGGAAAAAATGCAGCACAATTACATAAAACCCTCTTGAGAAATGACCTCTGAACAATGACAAAAATCAGTAACTTCAGATTAGCACATCCTACTGCTGAAACAATAGGGAGCTTTGTTTTAGAAGCACCAGTGCCACACATTTTACACAGTGGTGAGCACGGAAAGTTTGGGCTGCCCTCTTGTGGAAGCAGAGAGAATTTAAAATGCAAAACAAAGTGTGAGCAGAACCAGATGATTAGTTACAACCTACAATAACACCTGCAGCAATAAAAACTATATGTCAAGTACATTAAAGTATATAATAAACTAAATAAACAAGATTGTCTCTCAAAATCAGCTGATACTGTCCTTGCACTTTCATAGTTTATTTAATATTTAGACTAATTAGATTATACTAAATTTAATCATCTCTATGAATAATGTCTAAAAACTACTGTAGCTGTAAASAGATTTAGGGAAATCTGTATCTTTCAAGTACATTTGATGCACTTCATAATTTTTTTTTTACATAATAATTAGAGTACAATCTTATAAAGGAATGAAACAGGAAAAATGTGTGCTTCAGTGTACAAAACATGTATTATAAGTAAACTATGAATACATATAATAGACTCCTGCCTGTGTATGCACACAAAGTCCAAAAAATGTCATCCACATTAAAATCATAAACAGATGAAAAGTTAAGAAAAAAATCTTGACTTTGTCTTCCAAAACCATGGTTCTAATTCAAATTACACTTTGTGTGGTCTTTTGCAGAACAGCTGGGTTGCAGTATGTTTGATATATCCCTGACGTCTACATATCATGAAGAGACGTCTGATCACACGTATAACGTTTTTATGCTCAAGAAATAWCATTGATCGCTGTAGTTTATTCAGACAGAAATCCACCGCTTGTTTATCTCATACTGGTTCCAAACTTACAGACAAATATTGTGTTTTTATACCACAGAGCCTGCCACTGAACAGATGTCCACGTTTCAAAAAGGTGAAACTCAAAACATGGGGTGGGGGGGGGGGGGGGGATCACTGTGTCGCTCTAAAGAGTGTACACCCATTTCACAATAAACAGAATCAAAACTTAATCCATCTGTCTCCAGAGTGAAGAGGTCTCGTTGCTTATTTTTGGAAAGACTTTTTTTTTCCAAGAGGAACATGATTTATTTGATGTAGGAAAACCTGGACGGTCGGCCAATGAAGAGTGCAAAAGATCTAAGCTGACGAAACACTGAACGGAGATGCTTAAAACAGCAAGACTCTGTTGATTCTGTACAAAAGAACTACTTGTGAATGTTTTTTTTTTTTAACTTAGCTGCTTTTCTGCCTTAAATCTAAAACAAACAGTACCGGCATCAACCCATCTTTACCTGCTTTATAAAGTACAGCATTACAAGGAGTGGAGGCCTATTAAAGCAGATTTGAGGAAAGAGATAATGTGAATGGTTGTTTGTCTCTATATGCTGTCACTGTTGTTAAAATGGTTTTTTGCCCTCTTAAGAATAAGTGATCACTGACTTGATAACTGTGATATCAATCGTTCTAAAACCTATACACTTACCTAGCAAGTCCCTCCTCATAAACATAGATGAGGAGTGGGTCGTATGATGTCACCAACACGTACAAACGCACATCAAACTTGAACTCTGTGAGCAAAACAAAAAGAAGGCCAGTCATAATGATTATTCTGTTMATTTGTGGAAAATGTCTTTAAAAACATAACCTTCATCTGACCATCWATGAGTAGCGGGTTGTTGATGTAGCGAGACACCAAGATGTTAGCATCCATCGCGATCTGATTTGGCTGGACATGAGAAACAAAACAAAACAAAAAAAACACACCGAAGAAAATGTGATGTGATGAGAGAAAGGCACAGGCAGTGTTTCATTAGAGTTCAAGCTACAAGTTATTTCGTATAGAACATTAAATACTCAATTTCCAAAAGCTGGCGTGACAGGGCAGTTAATCATAAACATCAAAGCGTAATCACATGAGGAGACGTTTCGGCGACGCTGGCCATAGCAGGTCAACTTTCAATAACAGCCTATAAAAACACAATCTGGTGCTGGGAGATGGGTCATTTATGAGGTTGAAATGTGTTGCAGGTGGTGAAGTGGAGAAGGAGGGGGCAGAGCAACCTCAGCGCTGGCTGGAGTTCAGAGGAAAAAACCCAAACCAAAAAGATGAACGTATTTCTTTCTTCTCTCCAAATATCAAGCTGACATTCTTTCCACTGCTGCATAAAAATGCCTGAGAAGAAGAAGAATCGTGCATTTATTTTCCAAGAGCGAGAACCTTGCTGAGCTCATCCAAGAGCCGAGGCCTTGGAAGGGTGTGATTTACTCTGCAGCGCTTATTAATGTCTGCTTGAAACTTATTTCAAAGACAACTGTATCAGTGCACCCCTACACACAGATAACATCTGGCCAAGCGACTGGATGAGTTCACACGGCATTTTCTTTCAGYATGTGCTCAGTTAACTCCCACCAGGTCWGCTTTTAATGTAAATCTGTGCTCAAACATGAATTAATTTGGTTTTTTTTTGCACACAATTTTATATAAACCTTTTCCCCCCCGTTTTTATTCAGTCATTAGTAACGTACCAAACTATATGCTGTAGGTTCCTCGTTTTTTGTTTTGTTTTGTTTTGCTTTTTTCTAAAGTGCAATGAAACTTA